TCCAGACTGGCAAGCATGTGTGTGTGAATAGTATCTCCCAAAAACAAGGTAGCCAAACTTCTACCTGGGCTTGAAACCCCAGTGAGACAAGAAAACTCACATCCCCTCCCCCTTCCCTACCTGAGCTCCTCTTCCCCCAGATCACAGCTCCCGCCACCACAGCTACAGCGACCACAAAGAGAACCAGGCCAACAATTCTGCCCATGATGGGGACGGTGGGCTGAGGCATCAGCTCTGCAAAGAGAATGGAAGGTGCCCTGACCTAAGGTATGAGTCCTGGTCTTGCTGAAGGTCTCAAGAAGGGCTTCTGCTTTACCTGAGAAGAAGCTCCACTCCCTTCTCCCTCCTCACCCCATCTCAAGGTGAGGGGCTCCTCAAGCCCCTCATGCTCCACATGGCACGTGTATCTCTGCTCCTCTCCAGGAGGCACCACCAGGGCTGCCCACTTCTGGAAGGTCCCGTCCCCTGCAGGCCTGGTCTCCACGAGCTCCGTGTCCTGCGCCTGGTCCTCCCCATCGCGCTGCCAGGTCAGTGAGATGTCCGCAGGGTAGAAGCCCAGGGCCCAGCACCTCAGGGTGGCCTTATGGTCAGAGATGGGGTGGTGGGTCACATGGGTCCTTGGAGGGTCTGAGGAAGAAGAATTAGAAACTTCTCACTCTGGATTACCTCCATGGGCCACTGACACAGCATCAGGTGACCATCCTGAGACTGGACAGGATGATGGGTTTGAAAAGAAGCACAAACCCGAGACACCAGCCTGCACCTGGATATCTGGGGTATCTCCTAGTCCTCAGAATGTTTAAGAATCAGAATGAAAGACATGATAGGAGGCTCCAGGGCTGTAACGGGGTGGAATACAGAGTCCTGTTTACGAAGGAGGAGGATAAATGACTCAGAAAAGGTGAAGGCAGGATCCAAACAGGGTCTTGAGCTGAGAACAAGCCTGAGAAAGAAGGTCCTGGTTCACAAGATGGCGGCCGGGGTCAAAGGGCACCGCGGGTCAGTTATTTCAGGGACGGTCTCCCCCTCTTTATCCCAAAAGAGACTGGATTCCTTAATTGTCCTTTAGAGAAGTCGGGTTATTGGCGAGACACCATGTTATACAAAATAT